CCACCTTTACATCATATAAAAATGATTGCAACACCTAGCAACTACTTTGTTGGATTGCAGCATGGAGCACTAAAGTACACTCACTGGACAAAAATATATGAACATTTGTCGATCATCAAAAATAATCGAGTGACTTTGATGTAATAAAACTAAATATTTTATTAACCTAATCGATCCTATTTATTAAGTAGAAATCCTTTTTCATATCAAATTCTATAACATACTGAAGTTTCATTGCATATAAATAAAAATTGATTGTTATATGAACCTTAAAAGATAAATGAAAAATTTTTGAAAATTTTTAAAAAATCTTAATCTCAAAAATTGACCACAATGGCAAGTTTTAACATTTCTTATGGAATAAGTAAAAAATGATCGCAATGTTTGAATTTAGTTGGTTACGAATCGGAATCTCTGTTTCATGTAATTTATAATATCGGTGAACCTCGATCTCATCTCTAATAAGAACATTTAAGCACAACTTACAACCAGCTACCTGTATTCCGATAGTGCCAAATTGCCCCTTTTCTAACCTACGACTTTTATGTGCCCAGTAAATACCATCATTGCACTCACGCCATAATTTTATATCGTCATCCTCTTCTTTTTGATTAGTGCAAATAATCCTAGAACATTCTGCATACATCAATTCATAATATTTATGCTCCTCCTTACTTGTAAACATAATATCGGGCCGTCTTCCTACTTTCCCATCCCCTCTTCTATCAGCGCTTGCTATACTTTGCCGTTCAAAACTAAAAATACAAATATAACATTAGCAATATATAAAATACACTTTTTTTTTGCTATATAATATATAAACTTACATGGTAATGAAGGCAGATTCTCCAAAGGGATTATTGAATAAACAGGCATTAATTAATGGGGTGATTACATTATTTACATAGGTACCTTCATTCATTGTAGCGACGAACTCAGAACGAAAGGCCGGGTTGTACCAAATAGATCTCAAGGTTTCCAAAATTCTTAACGTAACAACCTCAAGTTCATCCTCATTCTCTTTCCAGTCACCTGCATGTACCAACCCATATGGTAAAGTTGACGAGTTTTCAGGTATAAAATTTGATATAAACTCCCCACATATATTTTCGACTTTTGATATAGGTCTAGGTTTCATTAACCTTACTGGTTTCTAATATAAAAATATTTTTAGTTTTAGTAAAGATTTCTATTGTAGCGAGGCTATTTATGTAACTATTTATTAATGTATAATGTACATAGAATAAGTCTAATAAACATATACCATAAATGCTTTTTTTAAATTTGTTCGTAGTTTTTGAATAATATTTGAATCATCTTTAATGATCTGGTTGGCTAGGGGGTTTTTCCAGGTTAATTCTTGAATTGGAATTTTATTTATATCAGAATATAAGCGTTGATAAAGGGCCGTAGTTTCTTGGCAGAGTTTTCTTTTTAATTCACTTATATTTTTTTCAATTTGGTCTGAGCTAAGTGGTTGCTCCTTATCTGTTTTGATTGCCCCCATATCGTAAAGACCGCAAACTCCTTCAAATGCATTATCGAACTAAAAAATAAATGATATGTTAGATTTCAGAAATACATAAATTTTTCATCATTGAAGTAATGCTGATTATCAGTGCATATGCAAAGTTTAACATCATTGTGTGGCCATCACGCAGATGAAACTTTGTGTGACATTTTTATCTACATAAAAACTTATATTTTTAGTTCACCCCTCAACCTGCAATAATCTTATCGAACAATAGGTTAGTAGAGTGAACTACAATACTGCGTAACAGTCTGTAGCATATACACCCCTCTATTATACGCAAGAATTATTGGGTGTTGAGCTAATGGGTAAAAAATATAAGCCAACAAACCCTGAATTTGTTTATTCAGCATTCATTTTTGAATAAGTCACACAATATCATCACATATATAGATTAAAGTCTGATAAAACTTGAAATAAGCTAACCTGCGGTAAGATTCGAAAAATTCTTACTTGCCAAGGAGACCCTTCCGTGAATGCATTGGTAGCTGAAGTAACAGCACGTTCTACAATTGTTTTCAATTCATTTTTCTCGATCCAACGATCTTCTTTCATTCCAATATAAACAATTGATATTGCATTTATTTTTTTCTCTTCAGCAGTTGTTAAAAAACCGTGAATCTTGTTATATAGTTCGGTAGACATGTTAGAGTAAATAATTTGTAATGTAAAAAATATTTAGATTTATTGATAATTCGAGATAGCGCAAAAAGAAAAATAACTATAAAAGAAATTGTGTAAATGAATTCGAAATACTATCCTTTTAAAACATTTTCCTCCAGATTTATCAAATGAGAGAGATAGATAAAAGCAATGTAAATGTGTATTTACACCAAAAATTTCACAAAGAAAATGAGTGCTAATTAATTGAATTTGGTTAATCGCGCAAATAAACATGCATGCATTACATTATATAGTCAGGTGGTCGTACGCTAGTGTCCCTGATGCATAATTTTTGTTGCACAACCCATTAAAATGTCATGTAACATATTAATCAAATTATCTGATCAATTAGAGTATCAAAAATTTGAATTTCTTCTATAATATACACATCAGAAAATAATATTATCCTCACCTTGTGACTGCGAAGTAAGAAAAATAAAGTCAATTGTTATATGAACTCCCGATTTTTAAGAAGAAGTTATGATCAGGGAATTTATCTTTTGGGGAAAATTTTATTTCAGTCGTGCTGGTTCCACCAATGCATTAGAGGTAAGTATACGCTTATTTATTTGAAAACTAGATCGTGGAAGATCAAGATTATGGATTAAACGAGAGAATATCATGATTTTTTATTTTAATATTTGATAGTTATATATTTAATGATATTTAATATAGAAAAATAGAAAAATAGAAATAAATGCGAGCTTGCATGGGAGGAATGCGAAAGCGCATATAATGCACGACTCCAAGGCCATGTAATGTGCAGCCCTGTACTTTGGGCTCGCGATTATTTAGTACTAGTACTAGTAATTATAAGATTATTATTTTTATTTCTACCGCTACTACTACTACTAACGAACTTGTCTTTCTTTTTTCCTTCTTTATCGACCCAAGCTTCAATTTTATCTAATGTTGTAACATGCGGTTTTTTTTGGTGGCGATAAAATCCAGATAACGTCGCAGGACCAAGTCTAATTTCTTCAGATAAGACATTATATATTGTAGCGGGGGAACGCCCTTCTCTTTTTCTTCTCTCGTTGAAGAGGTATGTAAATTCAACCCAGATAGCCTCGGTTCCATCTGAATATTCCGATCTATGGCTTGTAATAGAGGTGCGCCCTGTAACGTTAGACTCGTTAGTATAAATTCTGGAATGAGCGAGTACACTTGCATTGTAAGATAGGTTATCAGGCACGTAAGTGTCATTGCTTTGCAATAAATTTACCTAGAGTCTGGGTTTCACTCTTCCATTCTGATTCAGTGCGCATTTTACTGATTTCATTATTGAGTGTTAAAATAGCTTTTTCAATGTTTTTTGTAGCTGGATCTGTGGTTTGTTGCTTATACGAGATGCGCATAAATATCATGATTACATATGGTGCGATGAAAATCAAAAAGAAAAAAACATGAATTATATCGATAGACATTTTTAAATAGATTTTTAAATAGATTTTTGATCAATTTTTTTGATTAGGTGTTACAGTTATGAAATAGAAGTAGAGAAGTTGACTTATCTTGTATTTATATATCTTTCCCCCATCACCATCCGCAGTCTAAAATTAGATCAAAACCTTCTGAGAATAACGATGACGCATTACAGAAGATGTGTAATATTAGCATGAGTTACATTCGTGCTAAAAGACAATTGTGTTGATCCATACAACAAAATCTCCTATACCAAATTGGATTTGACGCACTGACAAGCTAGGTAGATTTTATTATTATTATTACTATTAAATAAGTATATATGGTAATTTTCCTCCACAATGATTGTGGAGAATAAAATACAATAACTAAATGAACTCGCGTAATGATTTGTTCAGATAACTTTTTACATATGC